TGAGTCAAACTGAATCACCTTTAAAAGGAGCCATGTCATGCTTTTAAATCGTTTTTCACACTTAAATCATTCAGTTGGGGTCTATATAAAGTGGGACTGCAATGCGTTTGTTTGTATCCCTCCTTATTGTAACTCCACAAGCCCCTCCTTCACCCCTTTTCTGAGGTGTGTCTCAGATCAACTCGTTTTGAGGCTGTCTCTTTAAATCCATAATAATTCAAAATTTGACCTGATAGTTCAGAAAATGTGATGGAAAATAGACAACTGAATGTGTTGAAACCGGGAGAGACTAAAATAAAGTTTTCTGCACTCCTCCAATAACACAACAAAATGCATTTAACAGCTAAAAATCTGGATTTTGCACACGTCTCCATTATACACAATCAGCATGGAAAAAAGTGACGACTAGGAAGCTTTCTAATATGAATGCATGGTGTAAAAGTATCAAAACCAGCTATGCACAATAAAATTTGAGCTGATGAACAGCATTAAACAGCTGAAATTAAATAGAATAGAATGCAATACAATATTTAACTTAAACTACAGAAAATATAATAATGATCATACAGTGTTTGACAGGAATCTTTGTTAAATGTCTTAATAGAAAAGTTTGCATACTTCAACTACATAGATAGACTTTGTATTTTGTGGTTCAAAACAGGCAAAAGTTTTAGAAACCTGGTTGACTGCTGCTCAACGTGGAGTAGCTGTCAACTTTCCTGAAAATGTTTTGGTGCCAAAAATGTGGAAAATGTGARCCCAGCCATGTTAATGTTTTTTTGTGACACATCAGACCACCTTATAAACAGATGCATTTCACCTTCAGTGGATGCTGAAAAATGTAATAAAATATATGTCAAACAAGGACGCTGGTTGATATTTTTCACACATACCACAACATGGACTGACAGCTTTGTCAGCTGTTAAAAAACAAACACAAAACCCTCCACTAGACAACTCATTGCGTGTAAGGAATAAAGTAAACATGAGGGATTATCAACTAGCAAATTATCCCATTAAAAAAAAGTAAAATATACAAAAAAATAGTCAAAAGTGCATAAAATAAGGTTCATAACACTGATGCCATGGTGTTAAATGGAAAGTTGTTGAGCTGTTGTCTGAGAACCTCAGCATAAATGTCATGTTAACAGTTGCTGTACAGTGATAAGACAATTAATACTTCAATTAAACAGCATTTTGAGCCTTTAGGCGCAGTTTAAATGTCAGGTTCTCACTTTTATGAAATTCCAAACAGAAGGAGCTGTTGTGCTACATGTGAATGTGAGTCGCCCCGCCGTCTCCCCTGAGGCAACAGAAATCCCACAAACCACCGCAAAGAGCTGCTCTGCGTGTGACAGCAGCAGAGTGATGCTAAAAAACAGCCAGATGCTGTTGGAATAAACGAGGTCTGGGAAATAAAACACGCTGTTTTTGCCCTTCACACACAAGAGGAATCTTTGAGTAAAAWCCCTCACGTAAAGCTATCTGCTTCTTCACCGATTGAGGGATTTAAATTGCTTYAAGGCTCATCAAATCTCATGCAATCTCACGGAATAAAACACTGTAATAAACAGATATTATCATTTAAATGTTAAAAAAAACCTAGTATATTAAACCAGTTTATTAAACAGTGGCAACATTTATTGACATACATCACAAAAAGCCTGGATAAGATAAATTTCCTACAAAAAGTCAACTTTAAGTACKTTTTAATCCTCTATTATGAGGCTAAGCACTCTTTAGCTCACCAGCAGAATAAACTTAATTTACCGAATCGTCAGCAATACAATAAGTAATAGAAAGGTCACAGACAGCATTTATGTCATTCAAGAATCATTATAATTTGCATTCGTACTAGACATTTTGCACAATGCCAACTCTAATCAAATAAAAAAAAAACGGCACTGTAAAAAGCACACAGCAGAATAATGGTCAATTTAAGTCCATTCAGAGCCTAAACTAAACCCACGGGGGCCTCCTTCGCAGTGCATTAAATAAGCAATTTGTAGCAAAAACGTCATTACGAGAATAGTCCTCTGCCAAACGATGTCGTTACAGTAACTACAGTCACTCTAGCGTAGCAGTGCTGATGAATACAGGAGCACGTGGGCTGACACATCACTCATTCATTGTGGTGAGAGTCCTTCATGCTCAGTTGCCTGATGCTACAAAGTTAATGCCTCAGAGACCATTATGGAGGAAGTACCTGGAGACAGTCTTACTATATAAAACACCAAAAACATCATTTACTTCTTGTTTTATCACTCAGAGTTTCACAAAGGAAATATAAAGAATGAGACCTAAGGTGGCGGCGGTTAGAGAATGTGTGCGTGTGAGGTGTTATCATGCAGTTCAGCAATCCCCACAGGCTTAAAGAAAATCTAAAACTTCAATATCACACTGTTTCATAATTAAAGTCAAGTGATTAATCCCAAAAAGATAACTAATTTCACATTTGATGCTTGCAATCGGAGTTGAGATAATCTCCACCAACAAGGTTTAGATCTGAAAAAGATCATTTATTAAAAACAAGGAAAATATTTTACAAGATGCGAGAGTGATGGTGGATTATTGAGATGATCCATTTTCTTTCCGTATGTTTTTCAGCACGTACGCCGTTCTGCAATTTTTGTGCTATKTCAACAATTTATGTGTATATAAAAAACCTTCCATTTATTTCTCATTAAAGGGGCAATATAATGTGTTTCTCAGGCATATATTTAAATTCTATACCATAATAAAGTAACTATGTCACCTTCAGTTGTTATTAAAATGTTTATACTGAATGACTTCTCATCATATGCATTTCTAAATGCCTTGAAATTGGTTTCTGTCTCTTTAAGAACCACCTTCCGCTTCTGTCCCACCCATTTCAGCACAGGGCCTGGTGGGTGTGTGTGTTCTGTGATGAGGAAGCCCGGCTTGGAGATACAGCCCAGAGGCGGAGCTTGTCCCAAAAGGCGGTTCTAGGCCCAACCAGTTGTTTTTGCTCTCCTGCCTGCTGCCTCAGGACACCACAGGATTTATCAAACATGCATGAATGAGTCAAAGCAAGACTCTGGGTGTGTTTTTGATGAGAGGATAACATTATAACATGATATAAAACTCAAACAAGTTGATTTTACATAATATTGCCTCTTTAAAAATAACAGCTGTCTTCAACATTCTCACAACTCTCCAGGATGTTTATAAATCTTTATTATACATTTTAAGTTTGATTCTGATTTTTTTAACTTCTCTGTACTAATTTCAGCTTACTTTAGCTGCTTTTTTGTTTTGCTAAGTTCAGCCTTTTTATGCATTTTTAAATATTCTTCTATTCTCAGTCATACTGCTAATCTCAATTATTTTATGCTTAGTTTCTTTTAGTTAATGTACTGTTTGTGCTTCTCCCAACTGCTTTGTTAATTCCAGGTGCTTCCTTCCTTTTTTATACTTTACAAGTTAAATTTTGTTTTATTACAGCTAAATTCACCATTTTTATGATCACTTTAGCTTCTTATATTCAGGAATGGTGTGCTTTTAGCTTCTTTTGTTACTTTCTTTTTCAGCTACATTTGTATGGAGGACCAAACCTATCATTATTGGAAATAAATGTATAAATATATAACTGGCGTATTAAAATAAAT